TAGGGTTTGCGTGCGTGTGTTCATAGGGGGTGAGTGTGCGTGTGCTGTGAGTGCCTACGTTGTACTATGTAATCTAAAAAACCATCCCCTAAAAACTGAATTTTAGAAGCGGTTCTCTCGAGCTATGTATGTGCTCCCTACCCTAGTTACATGCAATTTCTTATGTCATCCACGTCTCTTAGAAATTAGGACCATCTATAAAAAGGATCTGTGTAGTAGAACTAGAGCCATCAAAACTCTATGGTATGCCAAAAACTACAGCACGAACCAAACAACAGCCAAAATGTGTGACAAAGTTTGGCAAACTATGGTAGCCAACCAAAGAGGCCCAAACATCTAAAGTTTGACCCCAACCTGATTCAAAATGGTAAAAAATGGAACTCCAATTGGTATCACACTTCAAAGGTTATTCTATACATCTTAGCATCACTTAGTAGTAGTAACACTCCCACAAAACTCATATTTATGCATGTGTGCAAACTTGAAACCAAACCATTTGAGCACACATGTAGGAGGAGTTATCACTACCAAGTCAGGTTTTATGTTGCTTATCCAAATCTTGACATAGAGCTTAAATATTAGATAAGTTGCATAAAATCCAAATCAAGTTAGCAATTTACACTTGTGTGAAGTGCTAGCTTGAAATGAGCTTAATTTTTATATCTTTGTAGAGTTGTCATCAATTACCAAAAATGGAGAGATTGAATGGTCCTTGTTTGGTTTTGGTAATTGAGTGACAACCTTAGGTGGACTAATATGTGTTTGAGTGAGATACACAGGTAATTAGTCCATAGGTACATGTGTGTGAGCAACATATGCCATGGTGGTGAAAATGGCTCGGAGATGTTGCAAAGCTCGCACATGTGATGAAGAAGCTCATTGCACATGAGACATGACATTGAGTCATGTGATCAAGGTGGAGAAGATAAAGACATGACTTGGCTCAACGGACCGGTTGCAAGTGTGAAGGGCAAGTTGAGTGATGACTCGGCGCCGATGGACCGAAGCAACGGTGAAGAGCAAGTGAAGTCAAGATCGATGAACCAATATGGTCATGTGATGATATGGAGTGGATCATATCATTGTCGATCATGTTGGTGCATGTGTTGCATCAACATCGGAAGAGTTGGAATGGAATACGCAAGGCAAATGTATAACTTAGGACATTTTATTTTACCGGTCATAGGTGTGTAGAGAAGTTGATGATTGGGTTTAAAATAGATGGTTGTACTATCAAGAGGGGCAAACTTGTTTGCATATCGGTCATCTAGTGCCACTTGAGTGATCTAACTTTGCATACGTGTTAGGATCGAGTGGCGTGGTGAAAATAGTGCTAATCCTTTAGAAAAATATTTGTGAAAAGCTAACACACGTGCACAAGATGTTGTTCACTTGGTGGTGTTGGCACATTTACAAAGGAGTTGAAGTTGATGAAGAAAAAATGTTGAAAGCGCTGGTCACAGCGTGACCGGACGCATCCGACACTGAGACCGGATGCGTCTGGTATTTACTCAGGCTCGGGCAATAGGCAGTGACCGGACACGTCCGATATCAATACCGAACACGTCCAGTAATCTGGCCAAGAGTGATCAAGCTGAGGCGAGTGATCGGACTCAAGCTCGAGGAAGTGATCGAACGCACGTCGGACACTGTTCATGCGTCAGGTCGATTTAACTTGGCACGAAGTTGATCCAGAGGGGATTGAACGCGGAGGCGAGTCTGGTCACTAGGGTCCGGACACGTCCAGTTTCAGAAAAGAGGCTCTTGGAGCTCTCTGGACTCGACCTGACACTACCTCATCTGTGTCCGATCGATTTCTAGCGTCGCGTCCGATCGTGTCTGACAATGGGCGCAGAAAGAACCGTTGGGTGCCAACGGCTATATAGGTTTGAACGAGACACGTGGCAGCAGGGCTACGACCGACGGACGTCCGGTCGCCACACCGGACGCCCGGTTACACGAGCTGCGTGTCCGGTCAGTTCATAGAATACCCAGTGAAAGAGTAACGACTCTATTTATTCGTGAGGTTATAAATAGGAGCCTTGGACGGCCTTTGGCCAGTTGCTGAGCATCCTTGGGATTAAGTGTCCATATTTGGGGAGTGCTTGCGAGCCCTCTAACTCACTTGTGCTTGATAGTGATGCAGGTTGCAGAAAAAGCTACACACACGATGTAGTGTGTTATGACCATCCAAGCCTAGAATTTTTTAGTATACAATTATATAGTTGCTCTCCGCGTTTACCACGCTCTGAGTCAAGGATCACGGTAATCCTTTATGATCCGATATAATTTCATTTTAGCGGACAAGGTGGTACTAAACAGATATCCAGCCTGTTCGGTTGACTGGTTCGTATCGTTGCTGGTTCGTGAAGAAGTACTACTGGCTGATTTATGTGAGAGAAAAATACTGTTCCGGTTAAAATTTACAATCATTTACGACGAGGCACAGCCAAACGAACCGCCACCCCGGTGTGCTCGTTTGGTCCACTTGGGGCCTCGGGCCCAATAGTTAGGTGCAGGCTGTTGCGTTGCGCCCGATCAAAGCCTGGTACCGAACATGGGCTGTTTCTAAAGTCTTTCTTCAGCTGAAATTTCGAGGGGCCCAACATGTTGCATATGCGTGTCCTTATCCTAGTCTCGGGCAACAGTGTCAGGCTCAATATATAAAAAACTAGAAAAATATCTCGTGCGTTGCCACAAGAATTGCTGACGAAGTTATACTACTTATATTTACTAATATGATTGAATAAATATCATAATATATGTTAGGGGATGATTTTTTGTATTGTGATATGGACAACTAAATATATATTAGTAAATGATGTGGTTTGTTAATGTGAATATCTTAAATGAAGACATAATGACATATGTTAGTTGGATGTGTTAGTGGATACTGATGTGGACAGTTTATATGGCAAGATAAGTTGTTAGTGGGATATATATATATATATATATATATATATATATATATATATATATATATATATATATATATACATCTATGATTTTGTTTTGTTTAAAACAAATATAAAAGAGTTACAAACAAATATGGGCATGTTAAGATACTAGATTATTTAAGTCACAATGTGTATATCTACGATTTTTGTTTTCATAAAGCATTTTTTTTGTTTTTCTTTGTGGTTCGATAAAGCAGATGATAAAGCACAAGTACTTGATCGTTACTTCTCACTTGTTTAGATTTTTTTTTTGTCATATTTATGATAAAAGCTTTTCTTGTTTAAAGGGTAAAATCGTAACTTCCTGAGTGTATCTTACAAATCTTATATTTTCTAGATGATGAAAGACTTGATGGGATGATGTCTAGATTGCTCAGAAAACTCGCTCTTTTATAAAGTGATGACAAAGTTCACATGTATAGTACAACTCTATGTGATCTTATTATTAGGTAAGGCAAAGCCGAAATTAGATTGGCCTTAGTTTTTGTTTAGGAGTTCCTACATGGCATTTCCGTTGTTGTTAATAACTCCAAAGCAAGACCATTCACAGGGCATACCGCCAGGTACGAGAGGATCTTTCTATCTATAGATTGAGCACATCCTGCAGATCCATGTCACGTTTGCTTGCCTCCGCCGGCCGCTAGCACTAGTACAGAAAAGATTTTTAGGAACACATTTTTTTTTATATCAGAGGCAGTTAAACTAGCATTCTGTCTCTAACATCGTCGGGGAGCATTGTAGCTCTTTGATTGTCGTTGAAGATCCATTTTCAAGGCGGTTCCATTAAGAAATCCGCAGGTATCCATTTTTAGGGGCGGTTTCGTTAAGAGAACCGCCTCTAGAAATGCTATTTTCAAAGACGGTTGCTTATGTCAACCGTATCTGAAAATGAGTGATTTTTAGAGACGGTTTTATTAAGTCAACCGCATCTGAAAATCGATTTTCAAGGAAAGTTGACTAAGTCAACCGTTCTTAAAAATAACTTCTGCACAAATAAATTCATATCTTTTTTAAATAAAGTCGGATGAAGACAAAATTTATATCAAAATTGTAGAGCTCAACGAGATCTAAAACTTTGTAGTTGATAAATTTTTTTGTTTGAGATCATTTAGGGTTCCAAATATATAAATTAAGTCTCATATTTTGAATTTTAAAATTTTGAATTTTTCAAATGACCTTGAACGGAGAAATGTCCTATATGAAAGTTGTAGTGCTCGACGAGATCTAAAACTTTATAGTTGAAAGTTTTCTCATTTAAGATTGTTTATGAGTTAAAATATTAATTATAAGATTCATATATATTAGCACAAATAGACAACATCATAGCCACCTGTACCTGGTCCGGTTTAGACGGGTTTTGGTTAAAATCCAACCTAACCCGTAAACATACTGGATTCGGCGGTTTGCAACCCGTGGTTTCCACGGTTCAACGGGTTGGCAGCGACCGCAAAGCGAGCCGCCGCGTCGAGATCGCCGGCGCTATGGCGGGAGAGGCAGAACGCTACGGGGTAGCTTCTTAAGGCAGCTGGGCGTGAGCAACGGCGACAAAAGGGTCTGTCGTAGCCTGCAAGCAGGACCAACAGAAGTATGGCGACGCCAGCGTTGGGAGGAGAGGCTCCCGGCGCCGCGAGAGCCAACAGCGCGCCGGCAATGGCTATGGCAGTGGTAGGGGCAAGGAGGTTTTTACTCCCTCGCAAACTCGCTCGGCACGTTATGCAAGGCTGCAGGCTGTAGGTCCGAGGAACCCTTGCCTCATGCTCCCTTAAGGGTCTGTTTGGAACACAATTTTTTCATAGGAATTTTGGAGATTTTCATTCCTCTGTAAAGAAAGCATGTGACTGCGTTTGGAATGTAGGATTTGTAGTTTCCTTTCCGGAGGAAAGGCGGCAAGCTATGTGTGTTTCATGGGAAATAAAACATCCACCGTGACTCAAGGGAAAGCATCTTTCTCGTTCTTTTCTCCCGTCGCCTCTCTCTCTCTCTTACTCCTCCCTCCCGCCATGGTGGTTGAACCCTAGAGAAATTTGGCGCGAATAGGCGGAGATGGCGAACCACCAGCAGCGAATCAGCCCATCCCCACGAAACCCCCCTCTCCACGCTTCGTCTCTCCCTGCAACTCCATCGGTGCAGGGGCTTTATGTCCACCAATATGGGGGAAGTCAAGAAATCCACCAAGAACCAGGTACGATTTGATAATGATATGATTTTCCTCTTCAGAAATAGTTTTATTTTGCCCTTGTTTTGGATCTGGATCCGAATTTGTGGATCCGACAACACATGTTCTATGTAAAGATCTGATCTATGGAGTCCTTTTATCTTTTCCCTAAGTTTCTGTAATAGATGTTTTTTAGAGAAATAATAGATGTTATTTTTGTGTGCGTGTAACTAGGAAGCACTCTCTCCAATTACTTAGCAGTTAGCACAAGGAGATAGCACTTACGTTTTGTTATATTATGCCTCTATATTTTTTCTCCTGGTAGAATCTCTAATATCCGTTATTTAACTTATTTTAAAACTGGAATTTTCATCATGTTTGTCATAGGCACATCAAAGAATAGAGCTAAGTGGGATCACCAGAAGAGGCTATATCTTATTAAACTCTTAAAAATCCATGATGTGCTCAGATTTCGGACACACAGTGCATGGAGTAAGGAAGCTTGGACTGGTATTGTGGCTCAGTTCAATAAGAAATTTTCTTTGTCGTTCTCTATTGCACAAGTGAAACAAAAGGAGCAGGATATGAAAAAAGGAATATCGTACCATAAAAGATTTGGTGGCAGAAAGTGGTTTTGGCTGGGATTCCAATAGAATGATGGTGGCGGCACCACCGGATGTTTGGGCAGCAATGGAGGCACACAGGAATAAGGACGCTCTGTTTTGGCGAGACAAGTCATTTCCGTACTATGATGATCTGTTTGCTTTATATGATGGTGAGTTGATATGAGCCTGATTAGTTATTATTTTCACTGGATGTGATTACAGTACTTACGACCACTCTAAAATATTGTCATAATTTTTACAGGGCGTTATGCCGAAGGAAGAAGTTGTCGTGGTATGGATCATTATGCCAATAAGGCAATATCGCCTTCACAAGTTTCTCCTGATGTGCACCTGCAGTCACCTTCAGCTAGTATACCTGCTCCTGGTTCTTTCAGTTTTGATATTGAAGAGGACAGGGATGATATTAATTGGTTTGGTAATGATGCATTTACTCCATTGGGAACTTTCCTGCCTCAAGAAACACCAGATGGACCATCTTCCATAAATATAGCACCACATGTTCCTTAACAATTTGAAGAAACTCTTCGTCACAGTGCCCGGCCATCTAGTTCAACTCCGGAGGCAGTTGATGGTAAGCGTGATAAAAGGCAAAAGACCAAGCACACTATTACAACTGAACATTTTCATGAGAAGTACTTGAAGTTGAAAAAAGAAGAGATTGAACGATTCGCTGCCATAGAGGAGAAGAAGCTAGATGATCCTTTCAGTATCAACAAATGCATCACTGTACTTGAGGGGCTTAGTGAGCTACAAACCGGAGATATGCTAAAAGCAACAGACATCTTCAAAGACAATCCGTCAAACAGGGAAGTTTTTCTCTCATTTGGTAGTGATGCATTACGAGTAGGATGGTTGCTTAGACAAATTTAGATTACCTAAGCAAACTAATATTTTGGTATACTTTTGGTTCACGTGCATATATGCTCACATGATTAGGATTAGCATCCTGTAGTGACTGGTTTACAGTACCTGTCACTATCTTTTGTAAAGTACTAAACTACAGTACTGATAATTATCAAGAAATTTCGGTACAAGCTAACTAGGTATTCTAATGCATAGGGAGGTTAAATTACATTGTAGTACATCATTGTCGCCGAACTGTACGTCTTGCAATGTAATCTTCCCACATCCTGTTTGCTATGTCATCTCGCATCTCATTTCCAGCTTGTCGGAAGTTGTTAAATGCTGGCACATCATTACTGTATTGGTCATCTCCTTCTGGTACATCCATCATGTTGCTTTGATTGATATCTGTGGTAGCACCATGTACCAAACCAGCAGCTCCATTGCGTAACCGAATGAAATTGTGTGTTAAACAACAAGCTACAGAGATATCAACCTATGTCTCTCAGCTGTTTGCTTGTTGGTTTCGGCCAGGACTTATCAGCCATGATACAGTATTTTCCTCTCATAACAAATCAACACCAGCCGGGCTTATCAGCCCAGAAATCAACCAACGAATAGGCTGACTATGTTATATGCTGAAGCAGCTCTTAGTATAGGGTATCTCATTTTTAATACACCAATAGCTCTCTCTATATGATTCCGTAGTTGTGCGTGCCGAAGGTTGAATAATTCCTTTGGATTTTGTGATTTTTGACCTGCTCTTCCTTGTTCTTGTAAGTGATATCTAGTTCCACGGTATGGAGCAACAAATTATGGTGTATTTGCATAGCCTTCATCTACAAGGTAGAATTTACCAGGGGGACACTAAATCCATGGTTAAGTGCATCCTGTAGAACTCTTGCATCAGAAGCAGACCCCTCCCAACCGGCATGGACATGCACAAATTTTAGATCAAAGTCACATGCAACAATCATGTTTTGTGATAGACCTTGCTTTCTGTTTCTATATGGTTCTTGTTTTTCAACAGAAATAGTCATTGGAATATGAGTGCCATCGATATATATATATATATTAATGGTGAAGTCAATATAAAAGGCCCACTTTACATATAGTAAATATAACCAAACTGACATGAAAACGAACTATTTTTGAATTACCTGAAAGTATAGAGAAAATTTGGGCTGCCTTAATATACGATGCGGGTGTGGAGAAGGAAAGCATATATAGTGGCATGTGAGTTGTGTAAGTGCATTGAGCACTGCTGCAAAGTGACGGCTAATTGTTTACCCACTATGTTGGAATTGATCTTGTAATACTCGATTGCTTGCATTTTTTGATACCGCATAAAGGAATATAGCTAATTGCTCTTCCACCGAGACATACCTTAAATCAACAAGTCCTTTTCCACGCAATCTTCGAACCAAAGCACGAAAAATATCTCTCTCCGTATGGAATCGCCTTTGGCATAAGACTTCATGCTCATTTAGTGTTTCATCAATAAATGTGGCTCCATTCCCGACTGATGTATGTATGGCTTGCCTTTGTGATGATTGGGATGAACTAGCTTCTTGTAAGGTAGGGAGTACGAAGAGAAAAAGTTCCTCTTCATTTTTTTGGTCTACGCTGGTAGCTTGAATCCATAGAAAGAAATGCTATTGTCTGTGATGGATGGATGAGAGAATGGCAAAGCTATTATATTGCTGGACAACACACAATGCAATATGTTGCTGCCCCGACAAGCTTATATATATAGCAGGAGCAGCAGGGTGCTGTAGCAATGCCAGGGTACCAAAAAAATGCAGTCTAGCAATGGCACTTGCAGGGCTGCAACGGATAACTTGCCCAACGGCTATTTCCTCATTTGCATGGGAAAACGTGAATGTTCAAAATTTTCCTGCAATCCAAACAACAAACTTCAAGTATTCCTCTGTTTTAGATTCATGCAATTTTTTGTTTTATCTCATACAACTAAAAAGAACAAAGCGTGGACACTTTTTGGTGCGACATTCTAACGTGGGTCCATCGTCATGCCTGCTGCGTTCCCGCATCGTCGCTCCGATGTGTGGCCATGCGAAAAAAATTTCCGCATCCCCCTCACTCCCGATGACTCCCACCCCGCGCTCGACTCTCACACTCCCCCGACGCCTCCCCTCCCACTCGTGTGACGACTCCTCCTCCATCTCTCCCCCACGGACGAGGCACCAGCCCAGCAGGCGAGAGCGCCGGCCAAGGACGCAAGGCCGCCCGCCGCCGACCACCAGGGCGCAGGGCCCGCGCGCACTCTCTCTCATGGCGACTGCAGACCATCGCGGCAGCCCTACGCCAGGTGCCCAGGTTTTCGTCGGGCCCTTCGCCATGTCTTCGCCGGACCCTTCGCCGGCGACGAGCACCAACAGGTACGCCCACCCCTTCCCGGCTCTCCCTTACGTGCGAAGCCGAGGACCCAAACCCTAACTTAAGCTATTTGGTGTACTCAGATCTGATGTAATATCAAGCCTACCAAATTCGATTTTGTTACAAAAGTTATCAAGTGTGCATATGTCCACCGTGTCCTTTTACTGGATCCGCCCCTACTGTTGGTCTTGGTTTTGTTGATTTGCTCTGTAGTGATAGAGGGTTTATGGAGGAACTAACTTGCTAATCCAGCATAAGCAATTGGATAGTTTGGTAAATCTACTGGCAGAGGCAAGCAGGTAATGTTGCTATGAACCTTTCGCTCAGTTTAATAATAGCAAAATTGCTGGTTATTTTGTCTCGTCGATATGTGATGCTCATAATTTCTATCGGTGTATTACTAATTACAGCTATAGTGATATATTATCCGTAACAGTTAGGTTTGTCTATTGGTTCATAATTTCATATGGTATGATAACTCTTCTCAGGTTCCACCGCAAAGCATATAATGAACAGTCTCATGTGTAACTACTGAACAGGAGCCTGAATCATCGACTAATACTCCTGAGTGGGTGGCATCTGTTCTTAATGCTTCGTTCGAGATCGCCAGAATTGTTCAAGGACTTGGTGTTCTGCATCCATGGATTAGTTGCTGTATTGGTCAGTTTGCTTATTTCCCCTTTCTTTTGTTTCATTATGGATTTTTGAACTATGACTCCTTTAGTGCTGTGAGCTGCTACTTGTATTTTTAATTGATCACAAAACTACTTACTGCAATGCAGGCCATACTTTTGATTCACGATTGAAGGCTCTTCTCACTTAAGCACCTCACCGTGCCCTGCTGGATATCCTCCTAGTATTGATTTTTTTTCTTCCATCTCCTTCTTAGAGTTATGTCTCATGAACTCTATTTTATTTGTTTAAGACACAGTTAGTTGGCCATGTCAATACTAACTGCAAACGAGTATAATATTTGCAGCTTTGTTTTCAACTTAATTTGAGCTTAGAAAAAAAATAGAGCACGGGAAGTTTGATAAATTGCATATAAAATATGTCCTAATTGTTTGTGTGCTTTTCGTTAAGCACATTCTCATAGATGTTGTTATGTTAGGCCCCGTTCGGCTGGTGCAAAAACCAGCCAGAATTTCACTGTTCATGGCTGAAAGTTACTGTTCACGTCTGCTTTTCTCTCACAAATTTCTCTAGATTCTTCCAAATTCCTCCAAACGAACGGGGCCGTTATTAAATAAATTATATTGTGCTTGAACTATCCTATTTCAACAAAAATTACATGGATCATGCTTCTTACTGTTACTGCATCGGCTGTGTGATATGACATTATAAGCAAGGCATTTCAGTTCTAACCAATACTCTATGTTTGTTCTTTGAATAATATTTGGAGTGTAGGTGGTGCCATTGGCAGCATATTCACTAAATGATGATCTAAAGGGATAGTAAATTTGCTCAATATAAGACAATGCGCCATACTACCATGACACATGCTGGACTCATCCTTTCCATTCAGCTCTCATCCGCGACAAGTATCAGGTAAAATGCATAGTTGCTAATTGCTATCTATTTCAAGGAGAAAACTCAGAAGTCTGAGTTGCATAGTGCAAAATTACTTCAGTTAAAATATTAAGTGTTCATGCATGAGAATGACTTGTTCTGTATTTTTTCCTGGATGGTGGAACCCTCCAGCCTATTCAAGAATATATTGTGAAATTCAAAGAGCTCTTCTTCCATGGTTTCAATCTGACGCGGGTTTTGGTCCGTCTGTGTGTCGGTGGGGTTGCATAACTGGTGAAGGTGCTGAGCAAGGTGTGCAACGGCCGCAACCGTTGGCGTGACGGGAACCAAGCGTCGCGGGCCTCTCTAGCTAGCCTCCGTGAACGGGAACACGGAGTTGTGCCGGTTCCTGATCAAGACTTGCGATGTCCATGCGACCGATTCTGATGGTAGTACGGTGCAGTAGAGGGTGTGTTTTTCTTTCTATGACATTAGTAAGGCGTGAATGCTCCTCCAGTGCATCATGCAGAGATTTTATTTGCCTATGAAATATCGACTGAAGCTAGCTGGCTGTGGTCATGTACTGACGCAAAATTGTGTAATATTTCTATATACCTGTATGATTTTGCAAATTGTGATGAAGCAGATGCTGGTGAACTTTTAGTAGCATTGTTTTTATGTTGCCCTTAAGCACTAGGCACTAGGTTGTTACGATCAATTTACCATTATTCTTGATTCATGAAAGATGTGGTTTTGCTTGATGGTAGATAATGGTAACATTGTTATTAGTTGTAGAAACACATTTAGAATTTTTGTGTCTGGCAAGCTTCTTTTCTGCCAAATGTACATTGAAACTGGAGATGAATGCAATCCAATAGCTATATTTTGTTGCCTCTTGTGAGTTTGAATAGTGCCTGCTCCAAAATTTTTGAAAGGATATGCATTGATTTATCAAATGAGAATAGGCTGTAGTTTTCTGTTGTTACATTTTGAAAGGATATGCATTGATTTTTCTGTAGTTACATTTTGAAAGGATAAGCATTGCTTTTGTCTTGCTCATCTTCTTTTTAGTACAAGCTTGAGTCATGTACCCTGCAAGCACACAAAGGAGACAAAATTAAGAATCATTATCGTGTAAGTATATGATCTGTATACCTTTTTAGCCTTGTTGTATTTTCCACAATGATTTTTCTAATTACCTTTTTAGCCTGAGTCATGTACCCTGCAAGCACACAAAGGAGGGGAGGCATCGAGGGAGTGGGAGAGTCGAGCGCGGGGTGGGAGGCATCAGGGGTGAGGGGGATGCTGAATTTTTTTTCGCACAGACGACAGACGGATGACCCGAAGGTAATTGTCGCACCAAAAAATTGTCCACTCTTTAGTTTTTTTAGTTGTGAGAGATTGCCTTTATCAGAAAGAATGCATCATAAGCTGCAATTTTGACAGATGTGTATGCTGCTGTGCTTTGGAGTTATATAATATGAAATATTTTGCTAATTACTGATCTGGTATATTTTGTACTTAAGTCTACCCATGTTAATAAGTTGCAGCATGATTCCATTTTGAGGATGGCTAGGTTTGATGATATTAACTGTTTCAAAAAATTGCTAAACTAACTTTGTGGTGTTGTTACCTTCCATTGTGGTGGCTTCACTGTTGGGAGTAGTGTCGTTCCCTCGTGCCTTTTCCTCCATTGACAGGAAGCACGACTTCAATGGCATCAACCTCCATTGGTGGCTTTGCACTGACTGCACCGTTTTCTCCTCTTCCATGGATGCGCCCTCAAGGTGTGTTCAATTTCTTTCATGTGTTTGTATGAATTATCATGGATTGGCCTCTTGAATGTTTCTTTTCTGCAAATATTCTAAAAATTCATATATACCTACCTATCTGTCCTGTCATTGTTTGGTTTTGAATGGGCTAAAAATTCAAGTAGTGCCAGATTGCCTAACTACTTATTTACAAATTCATAGAGCACAAAAACTTGATCTACATAGAGAAAAAATGACTATAGGGAATTTAGTTCACAGTTGAATAAAAAAATGATCACCGACGCATAGTGCAAGCTGATATAATCAGGCTACCTGCCATTCGTACATATAATGAATTGGCTTGCCATTTTTGGAGTAGGAGCATTCTGAACTGGCTTGCCATGCAACATTGCCATGGCTTTCACTAGCCATTGGTTACACCTTAGTGGCAGAGAGGCCAAAAGCGAAAGAAAGGTCAATCCAACTTCTGAATGTTAATTTTATTTATGTTTGATCTCATCTGTACTAAAGAGATAACAAAATGACATATTGAGATCTCAACATCATTATCAAGCTCTGTTATTTCTACCTATGAGCATACTGCTGTTGTGATCATATCTGAGTATGCATGCTGTTTTTTTGTTCATCTCTGAGATCATGTCATGTTCAATTTTTGTCATCCTCCATAGGATGTTGCTTCTGTGATCATATTTCAGATAACAAGATAGTTTTGTTATCTACTAGGATCCTTGTGAATTTCTACCTCTTATGGAGTAATTAATCCAGTCCATGCTTTCAAGCCAAACCCAAAGACCAATTTGCAAGAGAACCGGAGAATAGAAGAATAGTAGATTTCTTCTCTCACCACCCAAAGAGCCTAGACATGTTTTCCTAGCCTTGTAGAACTGGTAATTTGTCATATGCAACTCTCTAGAATGTATGAGTTATGAAGGCTAGATTTATTTTGTCAGAGGTGAGACCTTCCTTCTCATAGGTACATGTACTCTCTGAATGCCATTTTTTGCTATGAAGATAGCAAGACGTTTGGGGCTAATGCCAAAAAAAGTTTCATGCAATGTCTTGTCGTATTAGTAAAACAATGAACTTTCAGTGCTCAGTTCAGTGAAAATAGCTTTGACAAAACACAATTAGCTAAGTACTTCAAATTTGATAGAATTAACTTTGGACTTAATGTGGCCTGTAGCGTTAGCATGAGCAATATACTAAAGAGCTAAAACGAAACCTCTGTTGTGATTCAGCCTTGAACCTCGCTCCCGTGATTTGAAAAGGAAGGATCGCTCCCGTGATTCATCTGCACGGCTACGCATCCACTGCGCCCCATCATCGCCCTCATCGCGCCGCTACCACACGCGCCTGCCCGGCTCCTGAGCCCGCTCGCAGCTGGCCGTGCCGCCGCCGCCTACGCCCGCCCGTGCGATCTCCTCCCCGCTCTCCTCCAATCCTCCCCGTAGCACCCCTTCACCGACCGCCCACACCAACACCTGCAACCCCCATGTGACTAGGGAGCCGGACCGTCACCATCGAGGACCGCCGCCACACCGTCGCTCCAGGCTCCTGATTCTCGCCGACCACCAGCATCCATGTCGGTGTCCATATCTGCATCCCTGATCCGGCTCGCCCGCATCTGCGTCGCCAGATCTTCATCAGGCCCTTCACCGGCGACGAAGACCCGCGACAGAAGAAGCCGGGAGGGCGCTTGCGCGTCCCTCCCCCCGATCCGGCTCGTGTCTTCGTCGGTCCTGCCGTGCTGCCAAATCCTCCGCTCCTGCCGCACTTCCACCTCCCTCTCGTCCCACGAGGAGCACCACCAGGTGTGGCAATCCCTTCTCTTCTCTTTCTGCTGTGCGAAACCGAGAACCCAAACCCTACCTAACTTCGATCTAATTACATGTGTGTACATGTATTATGCCTGCTAACTTCGATCCCTTTCAAAGGTTATCATGAGGATTCAAGTATTATGTACATTTCTTTGCACTGCTTCTCAAGAGGATTGTTTATGTTTATCGCTTGACACAGGGTTCCTGGTTGACCTTTCCAGATGTGTGATTCCTTTTAATTGCTAATTTTTACTGTGTTTTTGAGGGATTAACCCGTAGCAAGTTGTGTCCTTCTGATAAGGTACTCTCTCAGCTTCAATTAATGTATGCTTAGTTGCTATATGAAACTATCTTGTCATGAAAATAATTGTATAACTATCATCATTCACTTCATCACTTGATCAGAGTTGTAGGGCATAACATCTAAGCACTTAGGTTTATTGTATGAGATCAATGTTGTTGTTCAAGGCATCACATACGTTTTAGTTTACCATTTTTGTTGTCTAAAATGGTTTTACTAGCAGACTTGCAGTGTATTAGCAGCTTGGTCTATATTATTCCGTAGATTACCATACCCAGTCAGCCCAACTTAGAAACTGGTTTCTGAAACTGATCAGTACCTAATGCATTGAATGCAAAACAAGATTGACCTATATGATTTTTTAACAATTCAGTATATTTGTCTAGAGCAAACCTATCTATGTAACAGTTCCTGCCGCTAAGTAACAATTCCAAATTCAGTATACTGGTGCATTAGCTGAAAATATTTTTCTCATGCAGTTACTAAATCTATTCAGCCCTGCGACTAAGTAATAGTTCCATGACCTATCAATGGTTGATTGCCGTCGCCGGACGTAGGTTGCAAGGGCATCGGCTGTGAAGTGGCAGAAGGATGGACCGGCGGTTGCTCTGTCTTTTATAGCGACGGCTGCAGGATTAGGCACGAGTACTCCGAGTTCTATATATCACTGATCGTGAATCTTGTCACAGACGCTTAAGTGAATATCTTATTCTACAGTATATGTCTATGTGGAATAGACCAAAAGCCACACATATTTATACGGTGAGTATAATACTTTGTTTTAAGTTTTTGTGGAAGATTTTTCAAGAGACGTTGTATTACTCATGCGACAGACACTAATATTGACATATATACTCAAGTCTTTGTATAGGATAGTATGAAGATGTGGTGGAATTTATTCGTGGATTTATTGAACACAAAAGAAATGGGTATCGGAGATTTCTTCCTGCCGATATAAAACATTATCTTAGGCGCATCACGGAAAGGTCTATAAAGTAGAGTTTCTAAGCCTGTGATGCCGCTCTCTCCATAACTGTTAATTTCATAAACTTTACTTTTTGATTAACTGTAATTTTAACGTTGATATTTAATTTTTACAGTATTAGTATCTTATCATGCGATCCGTGTGTTTTTAGTATAAATTGTTTGCTATCACATAGCAACGCACGGGCACGCTACCTAGTACTGTATTTTATTTCTTTGTTTTTTTCTATTCCTTCGTTTTCTTTTACTGCATTCCAAACAGGCTCTAATTGTGCTTCGAATTGAAGAAAAAATGATGAACGAGATGGAATTGAAGAGGACGTTGCTGTGCTCAACTGCTCATCTCTGGAGAATGGCGTGTACTGCCGGACGGAAGCGCCACTCTGTGAGCTAGCCAGGGGAAGGAGAACCGCAAGGGGCATGGCTATGTGCCGCGCCTCTGCGCGTGCGTGAGCAGGAAGAAGATGACGAATTGATGGACGGGTTAAGCGGGTTCGAACCAGATGAAAACCAACCCATACGTGTATACATTTGCGGTTTTCAGTGGCCTGGTCCCTAGGTTTGGTCGGGTTCGAACCAGACTATGTACAGGGCTACATCATAGAACCAGTCATAAGTGACTGGTGAAGTGGTAGGAGATAAAAACACGTGAGGAAGAGGTTATAGATTGGAATCTGTTCGCACTTATTCAAAACAAGTGTAAAATAGCTCTTATGAGCTGTGGCCGCCCCTCAACCCTTCGGGCTATATTAAAAATATTTTTTCTTATTTTTATTAGACTCTAAATGATTTTTAAAAAATTCTAAAAATTATTTTTTGGGATGGTTGACTTAGGACAACCACCTCTGAAAATCGATTTTTAAGAGCGATTGTCTTAAGAGAACCGTCCTTGAAAATCGATTTTTAGAGGTGGTTTTAAAATCGCCACTGAAAATTGCTTTTTTTTTTATAATCGGTGGCATTGTTTCAAACCGTCTCTAAAAATCAATTTTAACCCGGAACTGCTAGCGCCCGGATGAACACGCTCACGCTGCTGTCCCTGCATGTGTGTCCGCCCGCAACCAAACCGCTCCCCACACGCATGCATGCGAGTCGCTTCCATCGAATGCCACCACGCAAGCCCCGACACGCCCGCACCTCGCGCTCCCGCATCTCATCCACATCACCATCCCCATCCCCATCTCCATCCATTTGCCTCGCCCTCACACGAGATCCCACCGCGCCGCCCGTCCTCGGTCATCCCACCACGCCGCCCGTCACCCATCCTGTCGCGCCGCCTGTCCCCTGCCATCCTATAACGCCGCCCATCCCCCCCTCCCCCGCCACGCCCATGCTAGGTGTGTCGCATCCTCACCAGGCTCCCATCAGAAAAATTGTTTGCAACATCAAACAAAGCGAAATACAAGATGAAACATCAGAACAAGTCTACTGCAACATCAGAACAAAAGCAACTGTAATAAAAAAAACAAAGCTACTGCAATACGGGATGCAACATCAGAAAAAAAAGACTAATGCAACAAAGAAAAATTACTTGTTGCAACAGCAAATCAAAGCTACTGCAACAACAGAAACAAAGCGCAATGCGAGATGCAACGTCAGAAAAAAAAAGACTAATGCAATAAAGAAAAATTACTTGTTGCAACAGCAAACCAAAGCTACTGCAACAACAGAAACAAAAGCGCATTGCGAGATGCAACATCAGCAAAAAAAACTAATGCAACAAAGAGAAATTACTTGTTGCAACAAAAAAACGCTACTGCAACAATAGAAAAAAAAGGAAATGCGAGATGCAACATCAGAAAAAAAAAGACTAATGCAACAAAGAAAAATTACTTGTTGTAACAGCAAAGCAAAGCTACTACAACAACAGAAACAAAGTGCGATGCAAGATGCAATATCTGAAAAAAAGACTAATAAAACAAAGAAAAATTATTTGTTGCAACAGTGAAACAAGTCTACTGCAACAGAGCTCGTCGAAACCCTAGCCACCGCCGCGCCCCTCAGATCTAGATCTAGATCTAGAGGAGGAGGAGGAGGAGGAGGGGGAGGAGGAGGGCTCGGATCCAGAGAAGGACCCACCTACCTCGTCGGAAGCCGCCGTTGTCGCCCTCTTTCCGATGGCATGGAGGTCGCGGAGCGAGGGAGGGAGGGAGCGCGAACAAGCAGGCGGCAGCGAGCTGGATGCGAGCGTGGCGTCCGTTCCGGAGAACAGCAGTGCGGAGGAGCGGAGAGGGGGAGCAGGCGAGCGGAGCAAAGAGTGGGCGCGGGGGGTCACGGGGGACGGAATGGGAACGGATAAGAAGCCGGGGGGCGCGTTGCTCGTGGCTCGGTCGAGTCGAACGTCGGACGTTCGAGTCACAGCATTACCGATTTTAACCACCTCTAAAAATCTAACTGTCGTAGATTTCACTAGACGTATACTACTGTACTGGTTACTGGTTACTTCATTCGTCTAGGGGCGCGTCTGTTTTCGCTCATAAGCACGTTCACGACTGAGAGGAGCGGAAAAACGCAAGATAATCCCCCGAACGGTCTGCGGCGGCTTGCGCGTTTCGCAGCAGAAAATAAACGCAACTTGGCGATTCCCAAAACGTCACTTCCGAGCCGCACGATACGGCATCGGGGAACAAACAGGGCCTAAGACTTACTCCAACAAGTGACCCATACCTAAAATTGGTAGCTAGAGATCTAAAATCGGTCTCCAACAGACTACCTATATGGGAGACCCATTTTGGGTTGCCTGAGAGGTATATCCCAAATATGAGCATCCTCCCTCCTAAAAACCCATTTACAGAAAGAATTCTCTTTTGAGTCATGTTGTTGGAGAAGATGTTGAATGGGTATCGAACTCTTTGCCTGTAGCGCTAGTGTATTTTGGGTGCTGTTGTTGATGACCGGCGTTGGTAAACAAGACTTGTCACAGATGCATTGGAGTACTTTTTCAAGATTTTTTTAGGAAATCAAGTTGTCTCTCCTTTGGAGGAGGTCCTCTTTTATAGCCCAGCACGGGCATGGCCCATGGTCATTTCGTTGTTGGGCCTTTGTGGGCCCAAGCTCATGATGCGTCGCGGTGGGACTAGGAAATCCTGCCGGCGCAGGCCCGACTAATTGAACAGGAGACCAGCGCGGCGTCTGACCACACCGGCATTCACGCCGCACCGCCACCACCATGTTTCCGCTGACAGCGGTGGCCGGTGGCCAAGCACGTCAGCGCGTTTTCACGGGAGAAATCTATCAAGGATTCATCAATAATGCTACCATGAAGGAGGTGGAATACTCCGGTAAGCAACATAATCTGGATAAATCTTTTATACATGTTTGAGAATATCAACTGTACATGCTTGAGAATATGGCCTGAACTACCATCATTTTCCCATGGTGTTGCGTAAACGTACCTGTGAAAGTACATATTTTGGGGTTTGGGCAGCTCCATCATCCATGGATCAGGTGAGCCCCAATTTACAGTCCAAGAAAGGAAACTCGTTATATCTTCAGTTCAGTCAATTGTGATCGAGTTTCAACAATACCAGCCTCCAGGATCTCATCGTCGAACTTTGGCGGACTAGACGGGGTGCTGCTCGAGGGTGTGTCTGACAGGAACACATCCGAGTTGTTGTCAGACCATTCGGCGGTGGCGGTGGCAGCGACAGCATCACCAGCTTCTTCATCTCGGGAAGTTTCTGAATTGGGTTCAATTCTGGTGTCATCCACTTCGGGTTCCTCCTGTGCAGATGCATCATTGAAGAGTTGACCTCCTTGAATGTTTGGTCCGGAAGCCTTAGGTTCTGGCGAAGAATGCGCATTGGCAAGAGAAGAATGGTTTTCAGCAGGTTCTATGTGATGAATCTGGACAGATCTGCTGCTATTTTCAGCTGATGCGCTGCTGATTTCTGTTTCCTCTAGAGGTATTTTGTCGAAGCCATCATGCTCTCTCTGTAATCCCTTCTGTTTTGATTCTTCATTTGTGATGTGAACGCTTTCGCTTGACCAATCCAGATGGCTGAAGGCATCATCAACCTTGGAAAGGCTTTCTTTCTCCTCACTAGATAACTCTGATTTGTGAACTGCTGTGCCCATTTCCACATCAGAAAATATAGCCTACAATAATCAGGAGAAAATGATGTGTAACTGTATACAAAGGTGAAATGGTGCAGGCAACTTAATGCAATAAAATGCAAAAATTGTCCAATTACCTCAACTCTGAAGTCTACAGGAAACCGGTGTTTTGTGTCCCACAGAATATCAATCTGGTTCCTATCAAGTACCAACAAATTGTCTTCTATAAAAGCTGTGCTAAACATGGCTCTGAACACCATAACTTCATGTTCGAAGTCCTCATCCAGGCTGACACACTCAATTACAATGTCTCCTTGAACAGGACAATGGACATTAACCTTGATTATCTCACAGTCTTCCTGAATTTGCAAATAAGAACAGTTTAATATGCAAACAAGCTTCAAGGTATCTTAAGAAGTTAAGATAACCAATAAACACACTTAAATTAAATGTACACCTACTATACAAAATGAAAATAGAAATGGGAACCCGATAAAGTAAATAAAAAAAACAAAAGATAAAGGTCAAGTGCCTTGAAGTTTGGACTTATTCCTAATCTATTAGAAAATGATTGAATTAAACATGTAAGCTTGTTGGTATATTTCAAATAGATCAGTTTTTGAATACTGAACTACTGAAATATCACAGACATACTGTAAGATACCAATACGAGATTCATGATGAGTTAATGACTAAACAAAATTATACCTGTGTATAGAGCTGGACACAATCACTTGTCTTTGGGGTCGAAAAGAGAAGTTTAGTAGCCCTGTCATTAGGCGCAAGGGGATCTAGGCCATAAATGTGGAATATTGGTCTACATCCCCCTTGCCCATCAAAATTCGGTACCTTCCTGATTATTATACAATTCAAATTCAGCATTTTGTCAACAGGAGGCCATGATTCTGGTGACGTGTGCCGTTTTGACACATACTTCAAATATCTCAGCTGAGAAGGCACTGGGTCCAGTGGTGAGAATAGCTCAGCTAGCCCATCAGGTGCCTGTTTGCAGACTGCCTCCAAAGCTTTCCTCTCATCACTATACCTTTTGAGGTAAACCAATAGGGCTGCCAATGCAAAAGCAAGAACTGGCCATCCACCATGTTCTGCATGTATTAGCAGAAAGTTGTCCTGGCTTAATGAGAGCCAGCTTTCACTAGATCTCAGGAAATGGTGAATCATCTCCATGGTGAGCAAGGGGCATCCTTCATAGTTACGTGGGTAACCCATGACACACATGTCATAGTATGAGAAAATACTGGCAATTTGGTTGTCCTTCTTGCTTCCCTCAAAGTTGAATACCATGAATGAGTCGATGGAGTATCGGCCAAATAGCTGTTTTAAGATTCCTCCAATGTATGGCATCAGCTCGTCTTCTTCCAGCAAATCCATGGAGTAACAGTGATCAAATACTGTAAAATAAGGAAGCAATCAATAATCAGCATCAGAAACAGAGAGTTAATTAAAAAGTACAGTTATAAACAATGTAAAAAGCATGCCAGTTGAATTAGGTGAATGTTTGCATAAGTATGTTCGGAACAAAGTTCCCTTCAATTTGAAATGTCCTTGACTTCAATGAAATATGAATGCATAGGAAAAGAAAATGTAGTAGCCTAGTGGGTACTACCCAAGGTACACAAGTTGTTATTGTCAAATGGGGGAAACGAACCTAGTTTTGGGGGCAACTAATTTTGTTAGAATCACTAACAGTCATGAAAAATTCAAAACGAAACAATAAGGTAGCAGATAGTTTCTCAGAAGAACGTCCTCATAACAGTCGGTCAACAATTTGACAAGATAACTTCCTTCGGACACAACAATATCAAATAATGTCACGATCCTGCAGCTTTAGGTATGTATTTGGCAGCACAAACACGAGGCCTTCAAGCTTCGAAGCTCGCCATTTGCCATGTATGTATATATGAACAAATGTACATCTGACTGCATCCATTCTCCAATTGAGAAATCCGAAGATGCATCCCATTCCATGCTCCAGGCATCAATAACTTAAATTTCTGTCATATATGCTTAAATCCCGTGAAAAGCAAGAAACAATAACACCCAATGGAAACCATCTCACTTCAACACGATACACGAAGATGTGATACTTCGTTATTCTTTTTTTTAAAAAGGACAATGGCAACGTGATAGCCAAATACTACTCTGGTCAATCCCGTGTCCCTATTTTGGTCAAGCTCATAATCTAGAAACAGCTAAGCAATCGCCTTTCCGCGCCCTTCGTCAAGTCAAAACACAAACCGAACCCACCGGCACAAAAAAGCCGCAAAGTCTGGGCAAAGCTATCTCCACTCTTCAAGTCTGCAAGTGCAAGCAAATCTGCGCCTCGAGATCAACACGAACGCACCTTTTTTTTTCGTAATTTCCCCCTCGAGAAATGGGGAGTAAAGCCGAGAAGAAGCGCGTACGGCGTACCAGTGACTCGTATGGGGCAAGGTTGTCGGTGCCGCGGGACGCGTTACTTCCAAGAAACCCCCGAGGAACAGGTCCAACAGAGCCGGGCGCGACTGCGCGAGCGAGCAGGTTCGCACAAACGCACCCAGCTAAAATAGCAAGATTACCGAGTACTGGGCCGAGAAAGCGAACGCACCGAGGATGTTGCCGGAGATCTCGACGAGCCCATCGGGCGGCCGCCGGTAGAAGAGCCGCCGGAACAGCGACATCCGCCCGCCCGCTCGGCCGCCGACGCAGGAACCGGCCAGAGAACGCGCACGCGCCGCGCCCGCCGGGTAGCCGGACCGTGTGGGGGAGGAGGTGGAGGGGAGGCGGGGCGGGCACGGGGGAGACGTGACGAGCAGTAGCGGAGCCGATGGTGGCGATATAACGGGGGGGCTCGGGGAGGAGGGAGGGAGGTGGCAGCGAGGAGGGCAGCTCCGCGCCGGTGGATTTGTTTTCTCGGAGGTTTTTGGTGGTTTGGACGTTTGGTTTGTTTAACGGGTCGTCGTGGGCGCGTGCGTGCGACCGCTGTAGCACCAGCCACCAGCCCTGCGCGGAGGCGAACGGTTCCATCATGGAACGGGCCCGGGCTTGCTTCTTTTCCCTTCTTTCTAAAAAAAAAACAGAGAGCAAAAGTTGGAACCGGGGTTCAAAATTTGAACTTTGATTGCCTTTCATTTATTCGTTTTTCTCTTCTTATTAAACTATAAAACGCATGCCTTTATCTCTTTTTTTTCATTTCTTCTTTATATACCACATTAGATCCTTTTTTCTATGGATCATTCTTCACATCTTAGGTAGAGGTTAACTGTGGAATTTCAACACGGGGTTTCTACATAGAAACAAAATAAGCATATTAAGATGTAGGGAAAATTGGATCTATACCATTGAAAGAATCGGCGTTTAAAAAAATAGCATCCAAAGAGTCAGCTTTGGAAAAATAGCATTGAAAGCTCTCTCCGTTATAGTTTCCTAGCATCTCTGTTAACTTCCCGTTAACACACACACCACACAACAACAGAACACACACGCAGCATGGCCGACGCGAGGACGACGTCTCGCGCGATCGCCATGGCCGACTGGGCGGGGCTCCACGAGGACCTGCTCGACCTCGTCGTCGCGCGCCTCCGTCTCATGGCTCTGGCGCGCCGCCGCAGCCGCCGCTTCACCGCCGCCCTTGCGGCGCCCACGCCTAATGGCCCCTGGCTGCTCCTCCCCACGGATGTCAGCGCCGACCTCGCCCTCGACCGTGGCCGCCTAATCGTGTGCCCCGACCGCGAGGTCTCCGTGGAGGCGTGGACACCCTCCCAGCGCGCCTGGACCGCGTGAACCCGCACCAGGTTCATGCCCCTCGGCTCCGTGCGCGGGTCGATAGTCGTCGCGGACGAGCGTGGCGAGATGCCCATGCACCTACTCGACCTCGTTTCAGGCATGCGCAAGCCGCTCCCAGCCATCGCCACGCTCCCCCTTGTCGACCGCAAGGCCTCCAAGTCCAGCACCTCGGTGGCGGCGTCCCCCCAATCGATGCCGTAATCCAAGGCCATCCCGGTGCCCACCCCCGACGGCGGCGTCATGGCCTCCTGGTGGAGTCCTCCACGGCCGGTGATGCGGTGGGCTGCTCCGCCCGTGACGGCCGCGAGAGGAGAAGGGTTTCATGGTGCAGCGTCTTCGGGCGAGGGCGGGGAGGCGATGGGGTGTGGGAGGATATGGAATACATCAGCGACGCCGCCGTGCTCGTGGACGCGGCGGGCGCCATGGCCGCGTCCACCATGGTGTGTCCCGCGCTGAGGCCCAACACCGTATACTATGCCGTGGACACGGAGGGGAGACACGAGTGTGGGCGACTGACCTCGCGGGCAAGCATAAGCGCATCGAGGTCGTGGAGGTGCTCCCGACCGCCGGAGTTTGCGATAGCGACACCATTGTGAGTGGTGGTGGTCGTGGGACAGCGAGGAGAGAAGCGGCCAGCGTTCGATGAACGTCCAATTAGCGGAAATGGTAGAAGGCAACACCAAACCTATCTTTTGATGCTAAATTTCTAAAGCTGAATCTTTGGATGCTATTTTTCTAAACTATGGTTCTTTCAATGGTATAGATCCAATTTTCCCTAAGATGTATGTGACATGCTACATAATCTGTTTAACGTTTGATCACGTACTCCATGTCTTTGCGACTTTGCACATGATGTAACAATGCAGCTTGGAAGTTGGAACAAAACCAAACGCAACATGTCAAAAATGAGCTAGCGCTTCCTGACTTGGCAAACCATAAAAACCATGCAACCTTGTAATCTGTAACAGAACCGACCAATTATACGAAATTAAGTAAGAAAATCATCCACCAGAGCAGACGATTGAGCAAACTTAAGTCCGTATAACCCGGTAGTCCGTGAAATCACGAAGGATTTCAAATCAACTCGTGTCCCAGCCATGATCGTAATAAGTTTAGCGGTCACCAATCACATATTACATAAAAGTTTCCATAACAGATACATCAGAGTTTAAACATAGTTATTACAAAACAAGTTCGAATAAAAGTAGCGGAAGTCATTTGTTTAAAACCACACACACTCACGCGGAGTTTAAATATAGTGCCAGCGAATGATCATCTCCAACAAAAGCATTAGATGAGACGTAAGGAATGACCATGCCCATGGTCCTAAGCATCACCCATCGCGGGATAGAGGCGGTTGATACAATAGCCGTAATACATCCGCCCATCTGCAACAAGTGGGAATAAAACCCTGAGTACGAGAAGGTACTCAGCCATACTTACCCGACATAACCGAAAATAAATGACACCAAGGATTATGCAGGCATTATAGTAGGGTAGCTGACTCATTTGCAAAAGAAGCATTTTAGCATTTCAAGAACCTTTCTAAAAGCATTATTGTCAAGTTAATTATTATTAACTTTGTCGACTAGATTTGCACCTATACTAGAGTAAGCATGTGATTAAGCAATTAATGATAACCACTTGATCATTAAACAACTTCCATCTTGTCATATTCACTATAACTTGTCCAAGTGTTCCATAAACATTTACTACGATGAAGTCACTCAAGTCAAGTGCTCACTATCCGGGAGCGATGGCGATTGAATCGATTCCTAACCACGGTGGTGATTTATTCCTTACACAAATCTCACTCACCCGCTAAAGTGAGATATTGATCACCGAGTCAACTTTCCGGTATCTCGAGTTTGCGGGGAACCACATGTACCGGGGCCGACCGGCGCACTTTGGTCTTATCATCCCGCCCCGTGTCCTACCACACTGCCGGACACAGTCTTGGCTCATGCGGGCAATCTACTCGGCCGAAAAATCTCCCGGCCTGGCGGTCGGAAGGTACTTTATCCGGCCAGCTAAATGTAAGGCATCGTTCAACATGACTCGAGGCCCAACAACGGTCGGTCCTTAATCGACCTGACGGAAACACTACGGTCCAAAACCCCGCAAGTCTCCGCCCGGTCTCAACTTCATTTAACACTTAGTTATACCATGACTTCATAGCCATCCAAAGCAGATCCGGTAACCACCTATAGCTCGCGGTGGCGGAAATCACCCGACTTCTACCGGTCTAAGCCCGACTAAGCATTGACTTCATTGCGGATACCGGGGTAACAAGGATATAGTATAACAAAAGGTAAACAAGGTATAATGCAACAGCGGTTGCAAACAACTCTGAACGTAATGCATCAATTTCAAGTAAAGCATTTAATGAAATCATTGCAAACCGGGAGAAAGATGCTCGGGGCTTGCCTCTCTCGAAGGAGCTCGGACGGTGATGGGGCACTCAGGAAGTTCCTCAACGTCCTCCTCGTCGGCCACGGCACTTTCTGTTTGCACCTCGAACTGCTCCTCGGGCTCCTCGGGAATGACGACTGGGTTCTCGGTTTGCGATCCTGTATGATGCAATGCGTGTAAGTGCCTATGCAATCGGTGCATCGAATGAGATGAATGCAATGGATATGTTGAAAAGCAAGGTAGTCAACATCATCCAAGAAACTATGCTACAAGCACATGTCATCTACTGCATTCTCTTCTACTACTAATATGTTAAGTTAACCTATCTTATGAAATGCTTCAAAGATACACCAAAGCTTTACTAATTTCTTAATCATACTTAAAAGCAACACTTGCTTAAACCCTAATTAATAATAGGTTTGAATAGCAACATATATTTCTGATGCTCCTAAAATCTGAGAAAATTATAGTAGCATAATACTACCCTAAACAGACTACCATAAAATTTCATGGCATTTGGATAAGTAAACTATCCTACACAAAAATGACAAGCTATAGCCTAAAAATGAGCATGAAATTACTTTGTACTATGAAAAGTGTCAATCAACAGAATTAATATTTTTCCTAGGTTCTTCATGGTATATAATGACTGTACAAAAATTGTCACATGCATGTTTTATACAAAATTTGTGCTCTAGCAAAAATAACAAAAATCAGCCATTAAAGGTACTTGAACTACACCTCAAATTTTTCCCACAGCACATGCATGAAACATATTTTTCCTAGGAAGTACATGACATAAGAAGATTAACAAACTTGGAATCATATTTTTCTGAAGCCTATATAATTTTCTACATATTTTTCAAGTTATCAGCAATATTCAAGATTAAATAAAATCCTATAGAAAAGTATCTCAAAAATGACATGCACAATTTTTCCCAAGTAGATCTGATGATAAGGAACCTAGCAAAATTTGTTTCAACAAATTTGGAGCAAATTTGAGTACCCAAACATTTTTCCAACCATTTCAAATTTCAAATAATAAAGAATAAATGGAAAACAATTCTTTAAAACTCTACTGGGCCGGCCCGCTGGAAACGAACTGGCCCACTACTGTGCGCACACCCATGGCCCAGAACGGCGCAGCCCAGCCTGGCTCTCCTTGGCTCGGCGACTGACATGCGGGACCCCCATGTCATTGACACGGAACAGGGGAGGCGGCACACATCATCAGCTTGGCGATGGCCGAGCTCGCCGATGGTGATCTCCCGACGAAACAAGCGGCATCGGCGTACTGTGTGGTGGTCACCGATGGAAGTAGAAAATGGACCCCCCTTAGATACTGACAAAGGAGGTCGCCGTGACAATGGCGATAAGCAATCACTGGTGGCCACATGAGGTACGCCAACCAACTCCGGCTAGGAAGGGGCGCGAAAAGTGGAGCGGGAGCTTCACCGAGCTCGTCTTGTGTGAAAAGACAATG